ATTCCTGCCCCCTTCTTTCTTAGAATTCACTCGGAAAGCTTTCAACAAATCACATGGCAGGAAATGATATAAAAGCTGATAGCATGTGTTGTCACTACATTTACAAAACTTGAAATTCGTCGAGATGGTGCTTTGCTTCTGGAAACTTTTTTAGTGCAAAACATTACATCGAAAGGGCATTCACAAGCGCCCGTCCGGTCTCTCTCGTTCTTGTGAATATCTTGTTTTGCGCTGCGTAATTTTCCCATCGCCACATTGATCCATGCAAAAAAGGAAGTAGCGTCTGAGGACAAACAGTTCAATGCACGAGAGAGCGTAGGGGCGCTCGATGCTCGCAAATTATTCTGCTGTGCCGCCTTGGAAGCGGCATGATTTATGAAGGTGGAATACAGTGCTCACTCTCCGCTGATTTAGTACATAAATGTAGATTAAACTCAATGTAAATCAGGATATTACGTAATGAAGTTTCCGGAAGTTGCACATATGCCAGACCATGCTGCACAACTCACTTCCATGCCCTCTTAAAGCCATGTTCATTTATTTCAAACTATTGTGAATTACACTAGATACACAATAATGAAGTTATGGATAGTTATTCAGTTTTTCCTCTCGTTATCATCGGAATCCGATATGCGTTCTGCACTGAGAAACGATCATACGAGTTTTGTGGCATGCATGAGCATAAATTGCTTTTATACTTTGTCATAGTTTGCGAACGGTTTACTCTGTAAAGTGTAAACACATTACCTACTAGCATTAAAGCTGAAGCCAGTGCGATGCATCAAAGCAATATCAAACCACCAAAAATAACGGGCTTTTTAGGAGCAACTGCTAACGTCTTGTTGGAATTTCTAGGTTCGAATTGTGAAATCACGCCGGCGCGAATGGCATTAGCTCCGTGTCCAAATACACTGCAAAAAAAGTTTACAAATAGCTGTGCACATCGGAAGTATACCTTAGCTTCTCAGTCATGTTAGCATATTAAGGTTGATGTCTCATCTAGTGGTGTGAATTACACTACATACCGTGCTCCACCCACGGTGTGGGGCCAGGGCGACAGCCACCATTGTTGATCGATGTTAGTCGCGAGGCGTCTGTGTGTGACATCGGAACGATTTGAGAGACGTTTCTGTAGTTGGAACGCTCGGTCAGCCCTACGATCCGCATGACGTTCAGAGATATAACAGTTGCCGAAGAGGTTGCCATTGCTTTGGCAATAACCGACCCTGTAACCAAGGTGATCGTAAGTGATTCCCAACTCGCCATCCGAAATTTTGACGCGGGCCGTATCTCTACACAGGCATACTCAATCATAAAGCATCACACCCCGCCTGTCTCACCTCGTTTTCTTATCTGGGCCCCTGCTCATAAATCCCTTAGTGTAAGTGCGCATGCACACACTCTCGCCCGAGATCTCAACTGCCGGGCGGAGTTCTTTACGCCTTACACTTCTCATTCTTCGCCCTCCCAGACCTGCGAAGAGCTAACTCCTTTGGTCCCTTACACAGACATTCTACAGCACTACAGACTAGGCCGTCTCCGCTATCCTCCAGCTCACTAAAACCTCCCTCGACGTGATGCCTTCCTGTGGCACAAGCTTCAGACAGGTGTCTTTCCCAACCCCTGGCTTTATAGCAAGGTATACCCACACCTCGTGACACCACACTGTAAATACTGCTCACAATCGGCCAACCTCATACACATGGCATGGACGTGCCCACAGTACACTGACACTTCTCACACAGAAGATACATGGGAGTCCCTCCTGCATATCACTGACTCGGCACAGCAACGCCAGGTAATCTCACGCGCATTGGAGGTCACGGTGACCCAAGGGATCCCTGCTGACCAACTCAAAGCAGTGTAACCAACCTCTCGGCCGGTCCCCTCTTTTGGGAGTAATAAAGTTTTCATCATTATCATCATCATCTAGCGGCGCATTTTATGTCGTCATTTCATTCCGTGCCTTTAAGTTAAGGTTATCATTTTTATTCGAAGATATGAGCAAGTGGTTTTTATCAAGGACCTTCAATAGAACGAGTTCTAAGGGTTTTGGGAATTAGACAGATTTACAACTTGGAAAACCAATTGTCTGGCTTTACAAGCCGGCACATACACGATTACAAGGTATGCCATGAATTGAGACTAAATATTTGTAATCATAGGTGAGCAAAATAAAAAAAATGCAGAGGACTCGCAAGCACCCAGACTAACCAAAATTTTGCTAAATCGAACTAGGAACCCGCTCGAACTCAGACTCGCCGTGGTAAAACTCAGCCGGTCTCACTCGGACTGAGGCCTACCTAAGTACAACTCAGCCGGATTCACTCAGACTCTGTCTCACACCTCAATCTGAGCCTTTCAATTCCTCTGATAGACTCATCAGTGAGTTTGCTGACTTATGATCGGAATACATTTCTCGTTGACGTCACGCGTTGATGAAGACATCTTGTGTGCGTTCACGATGGTGAAATATGGGAGAATGAGGAAGGGTGGTTGCTAGGCCCACATATTCATAATAGGGATGACCTTTACCAATCTACGTAAGAAGAACCCAACTAAAAACACGAATTCAGCGTAGGAACCACGAAAGACAAGTGTTGGACCTAAAACTAAATGTTATTAAAGAGAACCCCTACAATAAATAACCAGAAGCACATGCTTTTAAGCATGTGCTTCTAAACTTCAGTTGCGGCTATCTAAACCACAGTTGAGCAATTAAATGTACTTTTTTTCAGCAAATGTTTCAAGGTGGTATGAAACAGCCGATTTCCATGGAACACCAAAATATAAATGCCAAGTATTATATACCCGCTATCTATACCACGAGTTCTTCATCTGTGAGGACACCTGAGGGATCTCGGACATGACACTTCGCTCTGTTTTTATTTCGAAGGCTTCACGAGTTTCGCGTTCAATCTTTTTTTCCTTTGCCAATGACATACAATGATTTGAAAGAAATTCCATGTCATGCAGCCGTGGCTACAGAGATCAGATGGGTCGAGGCCTAGTGACATCTATAGGCAGTGTGAAAATCCTTTAGGCACAAAACTGACCTCTTCACTAGTCTCTGCGTCCCCGATATATCAGTGTCATTGGCAAAGGAAGAAATAGATGGAACGTGAAGATTTTCAAGCCTTAAAGGAACAAAAGAATGGCTAAGTGATCCTTCAGTGATCCTTACAACTAGATGATAGGTTCGCGTAGATTGTGGGTGCTTATGGCGTTGATCACAGAAGTGTGCTGTTTGTAGCATTTTGACATGCTTCTTGCCTTTGTATTGTTAGGTGTGCAGCTGTGGAACGCCTCAGCCTATTTTTTTATGAATGCGATTCTGGTACATGGGTTTGTAGACTTTCCGCCATAAACCTTGCGCTCGATGTCCTGTCAGGTTGAGCTCCTTAGTTTGTTCTTTCAAAAATATTATAAACCAACTCGCGGAGCAAGCTACACATGTGGCGTCCTTTTTGAAACACGGTTGTGACAAATCGGCATCTATAGTTGGTTGAATTAAGTCTGAGATAAAAACTAGTTGAGGAAAGGTAGATTGCTTGGTTTGATATCGCGGCGTGGAGCGTCGCATGGTGTGCAGTACGAAGCACGTTGAAAATACAAGCCCACGCTTCAGTATTTTGTCCGCGATCGTCTTCTGTGCGTTACTTCACAGTTCACACAAACTTAATTTATGGTGACCACCATTTCATCAAATATTGTTGATCTCGCTCAACCTGCCAATACAATGGGGATCGGTTCTGTTTGATAGAGCATTTCGTATATTATTTGTCATTTTACCTTTTTTTGTTCATTAAAAGCAGCCATGCATGCGGTCCAGTTTCTTAACTGTTTTCTTTTTAACTGTTTTTATAGTCCACTTATTTAGGTTTAAATGGCAGGTGAACCAATTTTTTTGCGTTTGCGAAGTTGACAGAATTAACGCCAGACTGGCGACAGAAAGTGCAAAATCAACATAGGTTAGCTGAAAAAAAAAAAAAAACCTCTATAGTGACACACACACACACACACACACACACACACACACACACACACACACACACACACACACACACACACACACACACACACACATACACACAAATACGTTGGCGGCGGCGTGCCGATCAGTTGGCGTCAGCATCTGCGACGTAGCGAAAATTGTGCAGCGGCGCGCCGACTCCTCGGCCACGGTGTCCTCGGCGCACACCTCTACTCGGGACAGTTGCTCGGAACGACCTCCACGCTGCCGCTGGTTAAAACCGCCTCGGCGCACACCTCTAGTTGCAAGACTAGTACAATTGCTTATGGGTCATTGGTGCTGTCGAATGTAATTATTATTACTCAAATTAAGTTTAAAGTGCAAGTTCAAGCGAAATGTTCTGCATTAGCGGTCAGATTGTTGTTTTATTTTAAACGTAGATGCAACGTCTCCTAGATTTCTTGTGCCTGCCGGATTATCAGCGGTCACTTGGGAAGCGGCGGTCGTCGGAACTATGGTGGTGGCGCCACTCAAGTAGGAATGTCTTCAAACGAATTTTTACGTTCTTGGAACTTATATGCAACAAAAATAAAGTTAAAAAGTTTTAAAAAAGCGTAAATCGTGTTATAATTAACCCTAAGTGAGTGACGCCGTCATTCAGCAAACAACTTTTTTAATACAAGGCGTCCTCTGAAATTAATAGCAAACGTCAAAATTGCCAATCTCAAAGGCCAAGTACAAAACCATTACTTCTACGTAGGCATAGCTGCCATAGATGACCGGCGTTTCGCGCTCATCAGGCAGGCACAGGAAATCTAGGAGGCGTTGGTAGATGATGCAGAAGCGCCGCTTGACGGCAGTGTGTGCAACGACACTCCCAAGTACGGGGTTCTTTGATTTATCTGCAAAACTGTGACCGGCGTGAGTAGCGTTTGATGTTATGATTTTATGTGGGCCGTAGTTAGCGTTGTCCACGTCATCACCGCCCTGTGGGATTTCGTAAAGCTTAAGTAGGCCAGTGGTGATGCGTCGTATTTCGTGCAAAATGTTTTAAGTGTGAAGTTATGGCAGCTGCAATTAACTTGTATGGTCGATGCATCTGATAGCAGTTAAGCCTAACGTCAAGTGACTAGTTGGAATATCGCTGGATTATTGCGGTAAAGCCTACTCGCGCATTTAGTCTACACCATTTTTGATTCACTGAATTGCCATTGCATTCGTGTTAAATGTGCTTTTCGTTCAACTCCCTCCAAGGGAAGCTTGCGCGGCATTTGTGAAGCATGCCAGAGACCGTCACAAAGAACGGCGTAGTTTTCTTTTTTATGTATACGTGGTTGGGAAACTTATTCTAAGTAAGTACTTCATCGATTCTATTTGTTCGCTCTACCATAGCGATGGTTTAAATGGATGCATCGACCACATAGTACACTGCGTGGGGATCGTCTGTTCGCCTTGCTCGAAAACGTGTTGGACATGTGCTGCGGAGTCTTCGAAGTTTGTATACGTGCGGCGATTTTCGTTCAGGTCTACGAGAACGTTCCGATGTTTGTAATCATAGATACGGTGTTGTGCGTCTGCCAGTTGGCTATTCTAGGGTGTTCAAAATTAGCTATCGATAGCTGCCGAATATTTTCCCTCGTCCGGAGTCTTGGACGTTGCGCTGCCTGCCGCGTGCTGAAGATTATTTAAGTTTGTGCACAAATGCTTATGTATTGTTCTCGAACTTACTGTATGGGGTTTCTGCGTAGTTTACGCTTGACTCTCCCAATGGTGCGCGCAGTGCTTGCAACGGCAATACCAAGGGCGCTGCTACGGTGCGAGGCGAGCACGTCGTGAGCGCGTTGTCGGAGGGGGACGCCCCTACCCATTCTCTCCCCCCTTTTTTATTTGCAGTTTCCTACGCGTTGCGTACAAGATCATTAGTTATTCAGGGTACAGTAAAGCTAAGTCATGTATCGCGGCGTGATCTGCGGGTGAACATGGTGTGCGATAAACCCAAGGGCTGTGAAGTATTACGCGTAGCTTCCTTACATAGACAGAGCAGCCGTAATTAAAGCCCAGAAGTTCACACAATCGTTTTTATTGCAGACATTGCTTCCATCTCCACAGCCTTCTTTTGGCTACAGAGTCATGGTCATGGAAACTCCGACCGCTCTTCACATAGGGCGGGAGTTTGTTCGACAGTATTACACGGTGCTCAATAAGACTCCCCTACACTTGCATCGGTGAGTACCTGCTTGCGGCGTGACTTTTGAGCACTCTCTTGACTGCTTTGAGCACTGCCTTGACTGCGCAGTGTTGCCGCATGGTTGCCCAACATGTCTTCGTTCTATCGCTGCGTCTAAAGGTACGTCGGACGCACCCAGATATCAAAAGCTCAAGGTACGTCGGACGTACGTGAAACCGAGAGCCTAAAGATACGTCGGACGCGTATATCCGTAACAAGGAGTCTGAGGATGCGTTGGACGTCGCGCTTTCTCGCGAGCTTGCACTCAAGTGACTCCCTATTCGACCAACCCGTCCCGCCCATCCGTTGTTCGTTTGCACGATTGACTTCGTGAACCCGCGGATCAGGGAGTCTAAAGAGACGTCGGACACTTTCTCGCCTACTCAAGCTTTCATTAAGAAAAAAAAAACAGTGGCCTCATGTGCGTTGGTTAGTTTTTGAGACTGTTGTTGCGGTTTCAAGAGCATCAAGTGAGGCGGCACCCAAAATGCAAACTTGACTGGTTACGGGGTCACAGAACACCATGTTCGCATGAGCACCGCCCAGACACTTTTTTTTTTTTTTTGCTGCGAAGGCCCTAGGTGCATTGCTATAATCTACTATAAGAAGTTGCAACTATTAGTGTGCTCCCCCCCTCCCCCCCAAAACAATGCACTGCCGAGGCAAACTTCCGGCGAGTCTGCCCCTTCTTTCTGTTCAAAAGGTATGCTAGGAGTGAACGCTCGCAAGGATCGTGGCAGCTAGCACAAACTTGCGATGCAGATGGCACTTCGTTATTTACACAAAATCTGAAGGCTCATTTCGCGTGTGGGGGGCGGTGACATGACACGCAGTTTCAAATCATTGATACTAAGGCCTAGACAAATCTATCAGACAAGTTATCACATTTTCAGTTTTGTGTCTGTAGTCCTTTAAGGAGGCATTCACACTGGGAAATGACAGAAGTCAATGACTGGCACCACTGACTGCGACACCCAACCATATGCGATGCACGGTTTTCGGTTGTCATAGGCAATGCTGGCTCGGCTCGTTCCTTGTCAGTCTTTTGCGAACTGTTACGTGGTAGCCGCGACCCACCCTGCGACTGGAGCAACCCACTACATCGCTATGGCCGATGTATCTTTAGGCACACGATTCTGATGCACAGTAATGTACCTTCAGCTTTTGGGCACACCCGACGTATCATTTGACTCCTAGTTTTGCGTACATCAGACGTAGCTTTAGACAGAGTGTTATTCTGTTGGAACTATATAATTTGTTACATTTTAATAGCGTTGACAATTTGAATATACTGGAGCGCTCTGTTGCTCTTACAAGCACTGTTGTCGTAGTTGCTATGTGTTGTACTTCATTTAATGGTAATAAATAAAAACACTGATGCCTCGTCGAGTGCAACAGCAGTGTTATTGGTAGCTTGGACTGTGCTTGTTAGTCGCAATGCAGCATTAATAAGTTTGCTTGGGAAATGGTTTTTGTGCATTTTTGCTTGCATATGCTCCAGAAGTACAGAGCTGTGAAAAATGGGGCTCTACACTGTGTGGTTATGTACATCTTATTTTGCACTGTACCACCACAACACTAGGTTAGGATCCAATTAGATGCTAGGTGCAGTTTAAACTAAATGCTCTATATTGGAAATTCAGTATTGTGCAAGATCTTTGTATTGTTTCGAAAAAAAAAAAAAAACCTTGTGCCATAAAGAAAAAAAAACGCAACCTGAATTGCCATTTTTGAATTGTAGCTGATATGTAATTTTAGTTAGGCATAAAAGTGGAAGCTTCAAGTTGACTAGTTAAGGGTTTGTGGGGCTCATTTGTACAAAATGCCATTGAACAGAATGCTTTTTGTAGATACTGAAGAGGCAAATTTTTAGACAGCGCATCATAAACCGACGCAAGTCTGGGATTGTGGCATTCAGGATTACATTAGATAGTACAAGCATTTGGGAGTGTGTGTGTGTATATATATATATATATTATTTATTTAAAGAGAGCCCTGTTATATTGTTAGGTGTGACGTGGTTTAGTATTTTATTTTGCATATTACTCTTTCTCACCCTCACATCCTTTCTGCCTAGATCATTATACTACACTACACAATAAACTTAGAATTACCTGCCCTCTCATTCTTTCCCCAATCTCACCTTTACATTGCTTCTCTTCACCCTCACATGCTTTCTGCCTAGGTCATTATACTGCACTATATTGCATTATATTCTGTAGCTTTGACAGCCATTCAAACTTGTCATTCTGGTTGTTACTTTACATGTGTATATTATTAGTTGCCGTAAATCCTGCTCGCAAAGCTCTGTTCAGCTGCCAGAATCGGTTTGTGCGTCTTAGGAGGCAGCTTTTGCTTCGCCTGTCACTTTGAATAGCCTAAGTGTACAGGCACGCTTGCGCCTCTACACTTCGGCACTATTTGGACACTACCTGTGACTTTGCATGTGACGATCCCCTTTACCAAAGGCTTTTGGTCAAGGGGATCTTCTATTCTATGCTATTCTATGCGTCTTATAATGGTACTTGCTTGGGCAAGTTGGTAGCTATTCATTGTTACCTTATTGTCCACTGTTAAAAGACGAACACTTGGGATGAAGGACAAGACCGACACAAGCGCAGTGTGCCCTTGTCACAAGACGGACACAAGCGTTCTATGTGCACTGCAGGACAAAGGCCTCTCCCAATGACCTACAAGTTATATCGTATTGAATAAGCTGATTTCATTTTATGCTTGTTAACTTAATTTAACTAAGTTTCTGCCATAGCTGTGTTTCCCATTCTGTGTGACATTTTGTTGTCGGTCCTACACATCACGTAACCCATCCTGGTCCTTTTTGGGGTTGCCAATTTGGTTCCCTTGAACCTGGTCCATATAGGCATGGAGACATCAGCCTTTGAAGCTATAAAAAGCCCTCTGTAGGCATCCTCTGTGTGCAGGGATGCTCTGCATAGTGTTGGACACCGAAAACATTTAGAATGTGTTTTAATTGGATTCTAAAATGGGCCTAAATTTTATTCTCACACTTGGGGCCCAAAGGTTACATGACACAGACATCACTCTGTAGGAGGCGTAATGCACACCTGACGACTCTTCAAGTTAGATCAGTTTGTGTTTGTATGAGTGTCAGGAAAATCTCCCGGAAGTCTAAATTTCTGTGTGTGATCTGACTGTATTGACAAAAGTGCAGCCCAATCCGATCCAAACTTTTTGTAAACCCATCACATTTTATTGTAAACAAACTTAGGAGACGTTCATCTAGACGTACAGTAGAATTTCAGTGATGCGAAACCGGCAGATACGAATTAGTTTAATTTCCCAGTTAAATTTCACTATATCCATTGGGCCGAAATTCGAATGTCGTGAACACTTTTCCTAATTGGTCATATGAACTTCAGTACCGAAACTGGGGAACAAAGGGCGAGAGCAGCGTGCTCGACGCTTTGGAAGAATGTGCGCGGCCAGTGCATGCAGTGTGTTGCGGCCAGCGGATGCAGTGTGTTTGTTGTTCACCACAATTGCTGTGGACGAAACCGCAATCGCTCTTGACAGGGATCATGTGTGGCGGCGATGTAACTTGCAGAAACTGAAAGGGGAATGTGCTTCCAATGCTCAACCAGCCAAGTGACATTGCTTTTCACGACCGCTGCAGATAAAACCGCTGCTAATGAGGTCAAAGATAACAAAAAAACAACTTGGTTTTAAGGCACATGCACCGCCAGCGCGTGCGGATTGAAAATGGAACTACCGTTTTCCGCAACCATTGCATGCGAAACCGCAGTTACGGCGAGACAATGCGATCATCAATAGTGAATACTAGTCGAGAGCACGTGGCCAGTGCAGCGGTATATTAAAGGCAATAAGGACATAATAAAGGCTAGAAGCGTTTTGGTGTTCCCATCCAAAGAATCTAGTGATGTTTTTGTTGATCTGGGTACTTTGGCTTTACTTTAGCATTCAGTTTTTAGTTGCCCTCAAACGAAGGTTCGACCGGCGCTTTCCAGGCAGCTGGCTGCGCCATGCCGTCTATTCACATGTGTTCCAGGAAGGGGGACATGGGGGAGTTCTTTTTACAGAAATAGATTTTGCTAGTTGTTTTGATCACGCGAAATTTCAGGGGATACGAATATTTGCGCACCCTCTTTGAGACTCTCACCTTCTACTGTAGTTGGGTAAATCCTACTGTCGTGTGTTCGATAAGACTGCAACGCTGAAGTTGACGGACCCCCTTCCCCTCTCCGTTTTTTTTTGCAATGTTTTTTTCATGCCCCCCCCCCCCCCCCCCTCTGTTGCAGAAATCTCCCACTCCCAGATTCATAATCCTTGAGCTTGACAAGTATGTTAGTGCTTTTGGGACATTAAACCTCAACAATTTATTCACTTGATAAGCAGTCTAGTTAGGGTTTGATTCCCTTTGCATCATTTTCTTGTGCTGGTATGTCATATTTCTTCTCAATGGCAACACACATTAGCTCCGTTTTACCCAGAATATGTTTGCGTGGCTTTTTCTTTTTATAATTTTGTCCCTGTTCTTTTCAGGTTGATCTTTTGCAGTGATTTGTGTTCGCAGCATTTCTGTTGCTTTTACTCTGCTTACTGCACATCATGAAATCTGTTTCATTTTTCTGCTCGGGCTTTTCCATTTCCTATTTCTATGCTTTCCAAAAAACTTCCGCATAACTTGCAAGTGACGCCGGTTCCTTTGTTTCGACTGCCATTACGGAGCCCATGGGGCACAGTGACCGCACCATGTTTTTGTTCGTGCAGCGGATCGTTTTTTTGGTGTAGTGCGCTCATTTTGAACGCCTTGCACGTGGGACGAAGGAGAATCGTTCTGAATATTATGCAACCAGCAGCGAGGCAGTGTTGACCGAGAAACTTGGATCCTTTATGTCTGCAGTGTCAGAGTCCATGGTGTTGCACGTAATGGGTGAAACAACTTTGCACAAGATTTAGAAACATAACTTGCCTGTTATGAAGTGACTATGCCCGCACTCA